TCTAAGATGGCACTAGAACCACGATCACGTCTATTGTGGTCAGTAAGTTCACAATAATGTTACATTTTTCCCCAACTAGCAAATGATCATCCATTAAGAGGAAAATGTGCTGAAGAGCCATCCACAAATCCCTCCTAACCGAGGCCTCACAAGCAACATATATAGATGTCAAGTAAATGGGTCTTGCTGGTCAAGGATAAAAAACTATAACGTGTAGAAATTAAGTGTGAACATCAATAACAGTAATAGTAGTATCCACATTCCAGAAGACCCAAATCTTATTCGACACATTCTAAACTCCAGTGTTGAAATGCAGATAGTGACAAATAAAATCAAAACTCCCCTCTAAAATCATAGGCTCCTTAATAATAGACTTGATGAATTTGAATAAGTTTCATCAGGTATCTGTGAGTAGCTACACTAGCTACACCCCTAACATTCTAAATGATGGCGCTCATTGGGATGTGCATAAAGAAGTATCATGTGATCGACTCCTGGTCACTATCCTAGGAAATGAAGTACTTTTGAATTTCTCTTTCGACCAACTGGGACGAAGTCTTCCTCTTCTGTCCTACCATCCATATTTGCCAAATCATCGGTAGAAGATCTAGGATATGGACCCTGTTGATGTACTTTAATTTGAGAGAATCCCTCTGAATATAACTTATTTGTAGTGCCTCCACATTCTACTGAAGGATGGGAAGAATAATAGTAGGACCTAGAACATGTGCTGAAATAGCACGCACGTCCAAATCAACTGAGACCTATGTCATATCTAACATATCTACGAGAGAGGATCGAAATATCGAGAACTAACAATCATAGGAGCATTGCTAATGATGATTAAGACTAAACAACTAGAAGAGGAGCTGATGTGACAACTGGTTGACATTGAGTACCAACCCGAGTCGGAGCTACTGAAGTATGATCTAATGGTAGATTAGTAATATGTAGTGCAGTAGTGCTAATAACTAGCGGAGCAATATAAAAACTAGGAGCCATATGTGGAGCAACTATCTGTGATGAAGTAACTGTAGTGAAGAGAACACTATGAGTGATAAAATAAATAATATGGGGGTAGAATGAGTAACCCTGCCTGATGTACTATCTTGTCTCTTGTGACATCTCTTAATTAGTGTCCACCTATGGCGAGGTTTAGTCATGACCTCCTTCACTTTACCCTTATCCTTAGCTAAAATTGGAGCATGCCTAGGAGTAGGGTCAACAACAACTGTGGCCATAGGAGATGGTACAGGATATGAACAACTAAAGCAACTCTCATCTAAATGTCTAAAGTGTTTGCACCGAAAGCAAAAGTCTGGTACCTTATCATATATAATAGGTTGCCAATATCCTCCATTCTTCTTCCTTTTTATCCACACTCTTTTGGGGAGTTTACATTCTAGATCAATCTCAATATATACCCGCACCTCACTAGGTCATCAAACATGGTAGGCATTGACCCGAAGATCAGTTGTCATTACCTGAAAATTGATCATAAGGTTACACCGTATAGATAAAAGAGAAGAGCCCTCAATCGGGAAAGATGCGAGGCCCTGAAAAAGGAAGTACAGAAGTTGATAAAGAATGACTTTATCAGAGAGGTCATTTACCCAAAGTGGGTCTCAAACCCAATCTTGGTGAAGAAGCATAATGAAAAATGGAAGGTATTCATAGACTTCTCCAACCTTAACCAAGCTTGCCCAAAGGAAAATTTTCCCCTTCCAAGTATAGACCAACTTATAAACTCTACTGCTGGACACGAGCTTTTGAGTTTTATGGACGCCTACTCATGCTATAATCAAATCCTCATGCACTCGGCAGACGAGGAAAACACTTACTTCGTCACTGGCAGAGGTCTTTATCGTTACAAGATAATGCCCTTCGGGCTAAAAAATGCTAGTGCTATCTACCAGAGACTTGTTAACAAAATATTTGTCGCTCATTGGCAAAACAATGGAGATCTACGTGGATGACATGCTAGTCAAGAGTTTAAAGGCGGATGACCAAGTACGGCACCTAGATGAAACTTTTCAAATCCTATGAAGGTACAGAATGAGGTTGAACTCCCTCAAATGTGCATTCGGTGTTACTTTCAATAAATTTTTAGGATACATGGTTAACTAAAGGAGCATAGAGGCGAATCCAGAGAAAATTTGAGCTTTGATGGAGATGAGGTCTCATAAAAAACAAAATGATGTGCAAAGTTTGATTGGGCGTGTGGTAGCTTTAAGTCGTTTCGTTTCGAATGCCACTAACATTTGCCTCCCATTCTTTAAGATTTTGAAACAGGGCAAGAAGTTCCAATTAACAAAGGAGTGTGAAAAGGCCTTCCAAGGGCTAAAAATGCTTCTAAGATAGGCATTTGTCCTCTCAAAACCCAAATCTGGAGAAGTTTTGCAACTCTATTTGACTGTTTCTAATGACGCCATTAGTTCAATTCTCGTAAGAGAAGAAGATACCCACCAATTGCTTGTCTAATATGGAAAAGTTAGCTCTAGCCTTGATCACTGCATTTAGAAAGCAGAGGCCATACTTCCAAGCTCACACGATACCCCGTGTTGGTCAAATTCCAGCTCAAAAACCTTTTTTGTTTCAAGAGATGTCAAATTCCATGAGTATCTCTTTCTTTTTCATTCTTTACCACATAATGATGAGATGACTGATCCTTTTCCTGATCTTGTTTTACTCAACTCAGCCTCTAATATTATTCCATCCTCAAACAACATTTACATATCTTATAATATCCTTCCTGATATGGTACATAACAATACTATAGTGTTTCCCAATTCCTATAGCATTCTACTCAAATTACTTATCCAAATCGTTTAGCTCTAGGCCCGTCCATAAATCCAGCTACTAGAAGATCAAATAGAATCAGTAAAACTCCATCATACCTGTAGGACTATCATTGTAATATGTTGACAAACACTCCAACACCATTTCATTATTCTCAATTCCCCTAAGCAAATGCCTCTCCTATAAAAATAAAAAATTCTCCTTCACATTGCACCTACCTTTTCAACATCTCTTCCAGCTTTGAAGTACAGTTTTATCACCAAGCAATAAAGTTTGATCATTGAAGAAAAGCCATGAAGGATGAATTGGAGGCAATGGAGCTTAATAACACTTGGTTAATTGTTAATCTGCCTAAAGACAATCACTCCATAGGCTGCAAGTAGGTGTTCAAGATTAAGCATAAACCTGATAGTAGTGTTGGCAGATATAAAGCACGTTTGGTGGCAAAAGGTTATACTCAACAAGAAGGTCTGAACTTCATTTAAACTTTTTCTCCTATTACAAAATTAGTCACACTGAAGTTGTTTCTTACTATTGCAGCCATTAATAAATAGAAGATTATTCAATTAGATGTGAATAATGCAAACTTTGTTCTTTTGATGGAGAACCTTTTGCAGATGCTTCACCTTGTAGAAGGCTCATTGGTCGTCTCTTATACTTGACTATTTCTAGACCAGACATTACCTTTGTTGTCTATAAATTGAGTCAATTTGTTGCTCAGCCTAGACAACCACATATGAAGGCAATTCATCACCTCTTACAATACATTAAAGCATCTCCAAGGTAAAGAATTCTATTTTCAGTTGCTTCTTCATTTCAGTTTCGTACATTCACAGACACTGATTGGGGTTCCTGTTTAGATACAAGAAAATCAGTAACTGGGTTTTGTATTTTTATTGGAGACTCCTTGATTTCTTGGAAAGCCAAGAAACAAAGCACAATTTCCAAGTCTTTTGCTGAAGCTGAATACCGTGCTTTGGCATCAACAACACGTGAACTCGTTTGTGACAACCAAGCTACAATAAACATTGCAAGTAATCCAATCTTTCACGAGCGAACCAAACATGTAGAAATAGACTGTCACTTCGTTAGAGATAAGGTGAATGATGGATTTGTTAAGCTGCTTCCGTTAGAACACAACACCAGTTGGCAGACATCCTTACTAAGACTCTTATTGCGAATTCTTTATTTTCTCTAATGTCCAAGATGAGTGTCATTAATCCCCATAGTCCATCTTGAGAGGAAGTAACAGAATACAGCTCAAAACCAACTGCCTCAACTCACTAATTCAGCTTCTCTGTGTCAATGTATTACTCCAGCTCAACTGCAGTAGTTCTATATAGTTAGTTAGGGCAGTTGGTTACATATGTCACTATTATATTGGTTGTAAATATCAGCATGTTAGTTAGGCAGTTAGTTAGCTCCATTTCTGTTAACTTTGATCTGTATTTATAAATGATGTGTAATACATTTGTTATTCGAGAAGTTCAATCAATAAAATTCCTTTTTCTTCATTCTAGTATCATGTATTTGCTCATCATATGTTCCCTCTGTTGCATATCGTTCAATCGGAGGATTCATCCATTTGTTACACTCTTGTTACGTTGATGAATAGGTGGGTTGATCCAAGAAAAATAGTTGCAAGCATATGGTCATAGTATCTACATACCCAAAATCGTCTTTCCGAATTGTTCCTGTCCATGAACTCTTTGTGACCACAAGGACGTAAAATGTATTCGACATTCAAGTTTGATGAAGAATCTTCCATGAAAAGGTTTAGGAGGAGGCAAAATTTCTTTATTTTGGATGGAAAACGATTTGGGGAAAATCAATTAGGTTTTCATAGAGGGGAGAAAGTGTTGTATTGAAGAGAAAACACTGTAAATGATGAAAATAACGATTCATTCAATTTTTGAAAAGAATGCGCTTTAATTAGAGTAAACAATATCCACATGTCATTTTTAATGGTGTTAGTGGTCACGTAAGATTTTCGTCTACGACGGAGATTTTTGTTGATTTGGATGGATGGAAGTGAAACTGTCTATGAATGTGTAATTTTTTTCAAAAGTGGGTAAGTATTCAGTAATCATTTACTTTTGGATGGGCAAATGGTAACCCAATGCAAATGTTGGGATTGGTGGTTTAATTAACTCAAACAGACCTTGTTTAGAGTTGGAATCGTGGAGAAAAAGGCCATAGGGATGACGTCAACGCCGGTGAAACCCTTGTCCCCGCAGGAGTGGGAAGCATTGATCGACGACTACAACAACGGAGGAGGACACCTCCACCGCTCGGTCCCTGTATTGGAGCTTTGCCTCTCTTCTGTACTCCGCAAAGACCTCCCGCTTCCTCTCAAACTCCACATCCTTACATTTCTGGAACAACACTCCTTCTCCCTCTTTCCTGCTGATTCCTCTTCATTCTCTTTCTTCTTCCGCCTTTTTGAGTCGTTACGCTTCGTCGTTCAGTCCCCCACCGACCCTTTCTCTTTCAAAGACCAATTCCTGATCTCCACCACTTCCATTTTCATCCTCTTATTGAATGTTGATAACAATGATTTGAACAATTCTCCACTCAATGTTTTAGTTGAGCTCTTGCTGACCATTATCAACCGCCCAAATCACGGTCTCGACCGCCAGACTCGTGGTGTTGCGTGTGAGTGTTTGCGGCAGCTCGAGCTCGCTTTCCCTTGCTTGCTTTCTGAAATCACTCCCCACTTGTGGGCTTTGTGCCAGAGCGAGCGAACCCACGTAGCTCAATCCTACGTCTTGCTACTTTCCACTTTAGTATATAACATCGTGAAGCTTAAGCCCCCTGACAGTAATATTATCTCGATTTCCAACGCCACGACTCCTCTGATCCCTTTTAATGTTCCACGTTTTTTGATAGATAGGGATGAACACAGCGGAGGAGATTTTGTGTGGAAAGAGGAGATCTCCTACAAGGATTTGAGGAGAGTGATTGCTTTCTTGCTAGAGTGGCCGCCGAATTTAACTCCCTTTGGGCTTTTGGAATTTATGACCACTACGATTCCGGTAGTGGAAGAGCTGGAATTGCAGGCATCTTTGTTAAGAGTGCAATTTTCAGGACTGCTCTATACCTATGATCCTTTGCTTTGCCATGCTTTTTTAGAAATGTATTCGAAGTTCCTGGATTCTTTCGATGGGCAAGATCTTGATGTTGCTAATCGCCTATTGTTGATGACGAAAGAATCCCAACATCATTTGGTTTTTCGATTATTGGGGCTTCATTGGTTGTTGGGATTCATTGTGTTGTTAGTCAATAAAGATTTGGGGAAGAAGAGAAGCATCCTTGAAATAAGCTTGAGCTTTTATCCGACCCTTTTTGATTCCCTCTCTTTGAAAGCCCTGAAGCTCGACTTGCTGGCATATTGCTCTGTTCTCAGTAACTCTGGAGATGCGAATGCTGTAAAGGATGTGGAAGGAGGAATGGAGGTGTTTGAGGTGAAGCTATTTGAAGACGGTCTTGTTGCTATGTCGGCTTTCAAATGGTTGCCTCCTTGGAGCACTGAAACTGCCGTGGTATTCAGGACCTTCCATAAGTTTCTGATTGGTGCATCACCACATTCTGATACTGATTCTTCTTCTGGTCGTTCTGTCATGGAGTCCAACGTCTTTCATACCTTACAGGTATATCTATGCATACAGCCGGAAATGTGTTTTATGTAATTTTCATTTCTTAAGCCAATGAATCTAGTTTAAGTAAAAATGTGTTGTTGTTTGTTACTTGTTCGCGTTTTTGAGTTGGGAAATAGAAAATTTAGAGGGTTACAGTGACAATACTAGTATGTGGCTTTAATTTAATCTGTTTAAGCTAGTCCCGTCAGCCTAGGCCCTTAATTGTAATTTTATCTCCTCAATGGTTTTTTTTGGGCGAAATTTTGGGCCCAGTCTTAGTTTGTTGATAGAGGTTGTTTTTTAAGAAGTGCTGAGCCTATAAGCCTTTTGTTTGTTGTTAAAATTGGAGAGTGGGCAACATACAACTCCCTTGTATATTAGAATGCTCTCAGTAAACTCTTCATCATTTTTTATAAGAGGCTAAAACATAATTTTCTTCTGAGGGTTTACATCAGCGCAAGCCAAGAGTCTTTGTTCAGTGCCACCAGATATATACATTACCATTCATTTACTGGCCAATTTTCAATTGACTACTCATCAGTTTGAGTAATCTAATGTTAATAAGAGGCTTCTTGTGTAGTAGAGTGTTCATTCAGATTCATAAACTGGTTGAACTTGAGTTATGAGATTGAAGATTAAGAGTAACTAGACCAATCTCATGAAGTATTGGAAGTAATAAATTTAAAATCTTGAGGCTGAAGAACATTTTTTTGGGGGGTTTACTGATGCTTAGGCCAATAGCGTTTGATACAATGTCAGCAGGAAAATACATTAAAATGGATTTTACCAGCGAATTTACAGTCAACTACTAAGCAGTTTGAATAATCTAATTATAAGTGGCTTCATGTGGACTTTTGGGATCCTGGAGTTCCTTTTCTTTTAGCTTAAAAGAATTGGGGAGCTTGAGTTGTGAGATTGGAGATGGATTATAACTAGGCCAGTCTCTTGAAGTAATAATTTTAGGATCTTCTGCGCGTACAAGTTTTTCTTAAGCTGTTGAATTATAATTTTGAAATTACTTTTCTGCAAGATCTGAAACCAAGTGTGTTATAACAACTAGAATGGTCTTGACGTAGACTGAAAGTGGAAAGAGAAATATTGAAGAAAGAGATTATAGATTGAAGGTCTTTTTTTATTATGAGAGTCTTTCAAAATTTTGGGGTGAATGGGACTTTTTATGAGATTTGGTGCTTGTACTTTCTGCTTAAAAGTTAGTGTAATGAGGATTTTGTAAAAGTCCTTGGCATTTTGAATACTTCGTGACTTTTTAAGACTTTTAAAGAGTTTTCAAGTCTATAAAAGCCTATAAATACCCAAGACTTTCATGAAGTCATAAAAAATCTTTATTGAATACATCTAGACATTTTAAATCTCTAAGGGTGTGTTTAATTAGAAAATTTTCCATGGAAAATAGCATTTTTTTCACACGAATCCCAACTTTTTGAGTGTTTGATTGCCATTTTTTCTATGAAAAATATTTTTCAACCTTTGAAAAGATGCCTAGTTTCTTTGTTTTTGAGGCAAACATTTTCTTTAGGGGAGGTAGGCTTTTGTTTTCCTCAAAACAAGGGAAATATTTTCTTTTTAGCATTTTCCATACCAATCAAACACACCCTAAAAGTCTTTAAAGTCTAAGCCCTTATTTGATTATCTAAAAAGTTGATTAAAATCTAAGTAACTGTCAACAATTAATTTTAATCACACATTTCAAGAAATCCACAACTTTTTAGTGACACATTCCATTAACTTTTAAATTTTTAAAGATTTTATTTTTATCTAACTAAACAGGGGCTAAATTTTCCATCAAATATGTGTCAACTTATATTACCCCTACTCAAAAACCTTAGGTTTATGACTTATCCATGATCTCTGTCACTGCCATACATACGAAGAGTTCGTTCTCATCTTCATTGCATCTATTCATTAAGCTATCCTGGAGGGCTAAAGGCAAAAACTACTTGATGATGCTACTCTCTATAGAGGTTGTAAGCTAGTCTTAATATGTTTACAAAGACAATAAGGAAACTATGATTTAATACAAGTGACCCTCTTTATAGAGGGTTTGAGCTACTTTGCAAACATACGCTGAGTGGACTAAAGTAGGGCTGGCAATGGTCCAGTTCGGTTCGGTTCTCTCCTGAACCAAACCGAACCAAAATTATCTGGTATTTAATAAATGGACCGTCAGATCCAAATATAATTATGGAACCGTTCGAGTTCAATTCCATTTCATACCATAATTAATATTTTTAACATTTACAACAACAATACATAAATGCAACTAAGGACTTGTTCATTTGTAGCTTTTACAAATTAACGTAGTCCAATTTAAAAACATATAAATAACAAGTTGTCCAATAAAATTAATTCACCAATGTATACAAATACAAAAAAGTAGATACTAATACTAAAATATCGGTAATCCATATTAATAATTTATTTACTTCAGCAGTCTACATAAAAAAAAATGAAATATAAATTAAAATTCATAGAAGTAAAATATTTTTAGATATTGCTAATACTTACCAACTATTTGACTTAATCATCAATTGAATTTAGAAATTGGATTGGGTTGGGTTGGGTTGGGTTGGGTTGGGCTATCTAGGCATGGGCTGGGCTATCTAGGCAAGGGCTGGTTTTGGCTTGGGAGTTGGAGCATTAATCACTAAATTAGTTAATTTGCTAATTTGTTTTAAAAAAATTAAAATAATTCAATTTTAAAAGTTAAAAAAATTATAGAGATTCAGTTCTTATTCGGTTCTCGATTTAGAATCGAGAACCGAACCAAATCCGTCGGTTCTCAATTCAGTGACTCATTCAGGTGTTTAACTTACGAAGAACCGCTCGGTTCGATCCAGTTCAGTTCGGGTCCGGTTCCGTCCATTTTGGTTCAGGAGTTTTGTCCAACCCTAGACTAAAGTGTCGGATTGCTATGAGTTATTCGTGCCGAGGGTTTGAATCCTTCTCTTTTCGACTGAGATCTTGATGTGTAGAAATCAGGCTTGGATTTGAATATGAATTATGGGGCTACTGGGGGAAGAGAATTATGAACAGAAGGTCAAGGAAAAAAAGATGGTAAGAGTCTGTTATGTGATCAGATGCACTAGAGTCAATAATGAGCTTTGAGTTGAGTGGTGGTACTTAATGCTCTTAGAAAATTACCTTTGTGAGTCGAATAAACTTGATGGACTAAATGTTTGGAAATTGGAGAACATTTTATAGAGTTGTTTGTGGGATTATTTTTTATTTCCATGGAATCAACCATAGTTTGGTAATCGTGATTGTTGGTATTCTGTCTTAGTTTTCAACCAGCTGGTTTCCTTTGTATTTCCCAACGAGTATTTCTTTATGTCCCGACTTTCGACAATGTTCACATCATGGACATTACCTTTGCTATTTTTGGGCCTGATCCATTGTTTGTTGCTCCTTTAAATGTTTGGGCTGACCCATCAGGTCCAAATACTTTTGACCCATTTAATATTTTTCTAGAAATTAAGGCATCAGCCCAAGTTCTTTGTACAATTCTACCCATGAAGCCCAAATCCCTTTGCTATAAAGGCCGAACCAGCTAATCCAGTAGGCCTAATTGATTTCCCATTCTTCAGCATAATCAGTCAACAACCTTCTGACTTCGACGAAGACCTCGCGTGTTGACGGTAGAGGTTGTTGGCCAAGAATCAGTCCTCTCAATAAGGAGAGAGAGAAATCAGCCTAATTATGGACTATCTAACTAAGGAGGGGTCTGAATATGGTACAAAGAAAAATCAATCATAATTATCCGGTGTATTTTTCGGATTTCTATAACTGCAACTTGTATGCAGTTGAATTAGAAGTCTTTCTTTGTATCCTTGGAAAAGAATAGGCAAAGTGTTTTATTAGGTGGCTCATTTGTTATCTATCCCTTGAAGTTGCAATAATATGATATCCAACTTTTGTTCTGCAGAGGATGCTTGTGGACTCAACTTCTGAATATCAAGGACTAGTATCTGTCATTCTTGCTTTCGTCAACCGCTTGTTGGGATGCCACAAACATCGGTGGTTGGGAGATAAACTTGTTGAAACATTAGATGAGCATTTGCTTCAAAAACTCAAAATAGACTACAGATTGGGATCTTACTTCCCCTTGTTTGAGATAATTGCTGAAAATAATAAAGTTTCACCAATTGGATTGTTAGAGATTCTCATGAAGTTCCTGCTTTTCCTTGTAGAGAGACATGGTCCTGACACAGGGTTGAAATCTTGGGGCCTGGGAAGTAAAGTTCTCAGTGTTTGTCGAACAATGCTGATTCACCACCATAGCTCTGGCTTATTCCTTGGATTGTCTCATCTTCTTGCATTTACTTGTCTACACTTTCCTGATTTGGAGGTTCGTGACAATTCGAGGTAACATACATTTTCTCTCTCCACTTAAAATTATTTCTTTATATTCTTGGCGCTGTTTGCGATATGTAAGCTCATTTTATGAAAGATCTTACGGGAAAAGAAGTTGAAGCAGTAAACAACCCAGGGACTGGGAGAACGGCGTGTGCTTGTTCCATTATTTTTATGCACAATGTATTTTTTCTTTTGACATATTGCAGATTCTACTTGCGAATGCTTGTATGTATACCAGGGAAGAAGCTCAAGCACATTCTGCACACTGGGGAGCAGTTGCCTGGCATGTCACCTTCTACTAATTCTAATTCATTCTTCAGTCTTCAGTCTCCCAGATCTTCATATGACCTCAAGAAATCTCACAATATTGCATCCTATATCCATGTTGAGCGCCTGATGCCTTTATTAGTAAAGCAGTCGTGGTCCCTGCCTTTATCAAATCTAGGCATCAGTTGCAGCAAACCTAGTTATTTAGAAGGCGGCATCAGGGATAATGAACCTGCCTCTACTGAGGAAACAGAGATTGGAACTAGTACAAGCACTGATATTATCACCAAAACTGACGAAACTCATCAGCAGCAGGAGCCTTTGCGCGTGATGGATTCAAAGATTTCAGAGATGGTTAGGGTCCTGAGAAGGCATTTTTCATTTATTCCTGATTATAGACATATGCCAGGTCTCAAGATTAAGATATTGTGTAGTTTGAGATTTGATTCAGAGGCATTCAGTCACGAATGGGCAGTCAATATGCTACCTTGTAATAAAGTAGAAGATGCACTTCCTGCCATATACGCCACGGTTCTCAATTTTACATCTTCTGCACCATATGGCTCTATGCCATCATATCTAGTCCCTTTTCTTGTTGGTCAACCGCCCAAAAATGATTGTTTATTGGGTGAAACTTGTAATTCTTTAGAAATTATTATGCCTGCTGAAAATGGTTGTGGAGAAGGTAAAAATAGCTTCGAAGCTCCTGTAGTTATACAACTGGAACCGCGGGAACCGATGCCTGGTCTTGTCGATGTCTTCATTGAGACTAATGCAGAAAATGGTCAGATAATTCGAGGGCAGCTTCATAGTATATCTGTTGGAATCGAAGATATGTTTCTCAAAGCTATTATTCCAGAAGACATTGAAGGAGAAGCTGTACCTCGTTACCATTTAGACTTGTTCAATGCACTGTGGGAGGCCTGTGGTACACCATCATCAATCACAGGTCGGGAGACCTTTGTGTTGAGAGGAGGAAAAGGGATTGCTGCAATCAATGGAACTCGATCAGTGAAACTCCTTCAAGTTCCCGTGACATATTTGATTCAAGCTGTTGAGCGTAATTTGACACCTTTTGTTGTTTGTGTAATTGGTGAAGCACTGGTTGATATGGTGAAGGCTGGGGGAATAATGAAGGACATAGTTTGGAAGGATAAGGATGATGATGATGCAATAAAAACCTGCAGCCCAACTGGGGGCCCCCTTTATCTCAAGTATTTCGATGATGATAACGAGAATCAAAACCCACCAATTACTAGAAAAACCGTTGCCGGTTACCTTGACATTTTGATATTTCTTCCACCAAGATTCCATCTTCTTTTTCAAATGGAAGTCGGTGAGGTTTCAACTCTAGTTCACATTAGAACTGATCATTGGCCATGCTTAGCATATGTTGATGACTATCTCGAAGCTTTATTTCTCGACTCACCCTAAAACTACTTTTGTATATGAACTACACATTTATTTTGTTCCGTGATTGCAGTCTTTTTGGTTCTTCACGTTAGAATAATATTGCTTTGTGTTTAATGCTGTGTAACATGATTGTACTGTTTTACATATTCGCAAATTGTGGTGTAAGTTTGGTCCAATCTTGTATCCGTCGAAGAGATGGCCTGGGAAATTCAAAATACATTTATTTTCAGCTTTAAATAAAATAATTGGTGAAGTACATGCTCAGATCTATCCAAGGTACTCAAATCTTAATTGCCTTTTGCACTTTTTATTTTCTTGCAGTGTTACATGTTGAAACATTTTCAAGAGATTTTTTAAGTGCAAACGACTCAATTCCTTACTTTTGGAGATCTAAACTTAAAAATCAGATGTCAAGTTTTAATTTTTAAAAATCAGATATTTTATGTATAGATAAAAGTTTTTTTATATTTAATTAAATAATAATAATATTATAAAAATTAATATATATACACCTCACCCCCACCCTTAAATTAATTTTCAAACCCTAAATAAAGTCTCTCTCTTCGTCTTTCACTCACTCTTTCTCTTTCTCTCACTCCTCTCCCTCACATGTGATTGCGCCATATTTTCCGAAGGTCTTCTCATATCTTCCGGTGGTCTCTTGCTCTTCTCACCACCGTCTCTCTCAAACCTAAATTGAAACTATCGTTGCCGCCTCGTCGCTGCATCAACCCACTCGACGTGATCGCAAATGTTGCGACAGCGATTTGCAGTGTAACGTCATCTCCTTTCCATTCTATCTCAGTACCGTCTCTTTACTCCCAAACCCAAACCAAATCCACCACTGCCTTGCCATTGCAGCTCTCCTCTCTCTCTCTCTCTCTCGTCCCCATCACAACATCTAAAGCGGCGCCGTCGTAAAAGAACCCCAAGGTCCGTCTCTATTTAGGCATTTCTAATTTGTAGGGTAGCGTGTTTTTGGGCGAAACTGGTTTTTACATTTCTTGATTTTGGAAATCAGGTAGAAGTATTCAAAAGTTTAGACTATAGTATGCTAAAGTTGGATTATTGTTTTTGATTCATGGAATGGCTACAAAATTGAATCGTTTTGTGGTGGGTGGTGGTGGAGGCGCCATTGGTGTTGATTTTGATTTGTTCTGTCAGTTTGTAATGTTTGTATAATAATAATGATGGTTTTGTAACGATATGTTTGGTGGTGATGGTTTCTGGTAGCGGTGGAGGTGGAGGTGGTTGTTGGTGGCGGTATCGATGGTCGTGTGGTGGTGACGTCGTCGGCTACCCTGTGAGGATGGTCGCAAGTGGCGGTAGAGATATTGGAGATGATGGTGGTATGTGACTCATTAGTTTACATGTGGCCAGCCATCTGTGACTCTTAAAATTGGATCATTTGTGACCTTAAAATTCGAACTGTGACTCACAATTGATTAAGTTGTGACCAAAAAATTAATCTGTGACCTATAAAATTTTTGATTTATGACCGAGAAATAAGTTGTGATCAATAATTTGATAATACATGACCAATAAAATAAATTGTGACCTATAAAATTTTTGATTTGTGACCTCGAACAAATTTGTGACCTACGAAATTTTTGATTTATACAAAATAATTGATATTTTCCCTTTGACGACTTCATGGGAGAAGAGAAAAGGGAGTGTAGTTGCCCCCGGGACACAGCTCAACTGGCGGAACAATCAGCATATGACTCGCTTCCAGCGGCAGGGTGAGGGTTCGAATCCTGGTGGGAACCTGCGGCCAGATATATTTGGTATGGAGCAATCACTTTGGAGGATGATCCCTTATGCGCAGAAGTGCACAGTTGGTAAAGGGAATTTGAGAACTAATTGAGACATATCCCGCGATTTACTTCATCCAAGGTTCTAGGGGTAAGGGTCTTGGAGGTCCAGAATTTAGTCTGGTAAAATTGGGACACCCGAGTATCAAAAAAAAAAAAAGGAGTGTAGTTGTTTCCTAGTTTTGAAGCATAATTACATTTGATGTGAAATTTCGTCTATAGTGTCAGCTTCTATTGGAACTGTAAAAGTAAATACTCTTAAAAAATACATGGAATGCCCTTTAATTTAAGAGCAATGCTAGAGGTACATCGGGGTGTACATCACGGTACCTCCATGTGAGGTGATGTACACCTTGATGTACATCTTTTGATGTACATCTAGCATTTTTCTTAATTTAATCATGGGATCGATAATGGCTATTAATGGAAAGATGTTAGGCAAAGTTTCCCTTATGTGAATATGAATTTACTCTCCATAGCTTTGCTTGTATTCTTGGATCTCGATATGATTAAAAGTATTAACAATATAAAAAAATTGAGAAAGAACAAAATAAGATAATAAATCACTGAATTCACCAAGACTCGAATCAATGAGAATACTTGTAATACATTCATTTATGCAAAAATGATAGGATTATCCATTCAAATCACGACACCAAGAAAATAAGAGTGAAAAACAGTGTGTTGGTTAACACACTCGGCGTCCCATTGATTCGAGAACATTTGTAGTCTAAAGTGTCGTTCTATGAATGGACAGACACGGTCCAAGCACACATGCATATAGTACCGTCCCACCAAATTTTCCTCAGATTGAAAGTGCCAGCAACATCTGCTAACAGAACAGATAAACACCATGCATCATGACTACCTACTTCCCAACGCAAACAATGCTGCTCCCAACTCGGATGGAGTGCACACAATTATTGGAACACTTGAAATTCTAGAGTTAATCTGCACCTACAGGTAAAATTTCACAGGCCATTTCCAGGCTTCTCACATGGGAAGCCCTACCCATGAATAAAAAATAGAAAAAAGGGAAAATTTCATTTTCAAGAGAATAAGTTTAGCATATTTCAAAAATAAGAAAACGAGTTTGAAATTTCTAAAATCAGATTTTTATTAAAAAATTTTAAATTTTTATTTATGAAATAAATTAATTTATTATTAAATATTTAACTCTAATATAATATAATTAACCCATCCCACCTTCACCATCCTACCGCTCCGGCGACCGTTCCGATCACCGCCCTACTCCGGCGAACTTCCGATGACCGTTCCGGCAACTACTCCGATTTCGGCGACTGCTCCGGTGACTATTCCGGTGACCGTTTCAGGCTACTGCTCCGATTCCGACTACTCAGGTCACGAGTCACAGCCCAGGTCACAGTCCAATTCACAAGTCACAGCCCATGTCACAACTCAGGTCACAGTCCAAAACTTTTATAGGTCACAATTTGTATATCGGTCACAGATCAAAATTTTTGGAGGTCACAGATTATTTCATGGTCACAAATCAATAATTTTAAAGGTCACAGATTATTTTATTGGTCACGGATTAAAAAATTACAGGTTACAGATTAATTTTTAGTGACAAATTGTCGAATTTTAAGGTCACGGATTAATTTTTAGTCACAAATTGTAGAATTTTAAGGTCACAGATAGTTCAACACAAACACCAAATCCTTCGCCACCGTCCACTGCTAGAGAGAAGAGAGAGTGAGAAAAGAAAAGACAGTACAGAAGAGAGGACTACCACCACCTCGACGGCCAGTACCACCACCAACTACAAACATGCCACCATTTCAAACCACCCGCCAACTACCCCAAAAGCTCCGACGATTTTCCCCCAGATAGCGCATCAGTCGTCTGTTGTCCTATCTTTTGCCGCCACCATTTTCAAACCACCAAAGAAACCACCCCATAACCACCGTCTATTCCCATGTCTTCCTTCGATCGACTTACTACAATATCGTCGGCCACCATAATTTCACCATCACCTCTCCAAATCAACAAACAAACTACTAATAGCCACAACCCATCGTCTCCTTCACTGCCATTTTTTCGATCTCTCACCTCTCACTGCTATTTGCCACCTCCGGCCACATCAACATAACCTCACACAACATAACCACCACCACATACGCAGTGGAAGAGATACGGTCCATTGCGCACGACAATGTCGCTAGGTCGAGCGACTCCGTTGATGATGTGCACAGCGAGGAAGAAAGAGGACGGGAAGGGTTTCGAATCTCAACCGCCCATTTGCCCCACGGCTTTTGCTGTCTTCGACGGCGATATCTATGTAAGGGAGATGGGAGAGAAACGAGAGAAAGGCGGGGAAGCGAAAGAAGAGGGGAAGAGTTCGCGACGGGAGTTCACAGCAGTGGTCGATCTCTATGTCTCCAAAGGCGATCGTAGCAGCATCTTGCCATGCCGGTGGTCGCAGCATCTGTGTCTCCAGAGAAGAGAGAGAGAGGCGGGAAAGAGAAGGTGGGGAAGAGAGAGAGGGGAGTGAAAGGAGATAATAAAATTAGGGTTTTAGGTTTGGGTAAGATGAATTAATATCTGTCGCCGGCAGCAAAAGTGGAGGGAGGGGGACGAGGTCAAGAGGAAAGGAACGAGGGAGGAGTAGAGAGAGAAAGCAAATAAAATTTTTTTTGGAAATGAATTAGGGTAGTAAAAATATTTATTTTATAAAAATATTAATTAAAATAAAAAATCTGGTTTTGAAAATATTAAACTTCCAATCTGATTTTAGAAAGTTTAATACTTAAAATATGATTTTGTGTAATTACCACTTGAAAAAAATCCCACTCTACTATGCATGTGAGTGGCCCGTGAATTTCACAGGCTGTACGTGTAGTTCAACTCCAAATTTTAAGCAGCATAATTATTGCACCACGTAAATCACTTGTTAATGACTATTCTGCGACTAATTAATTGGAGGAATGAAATTTCATCAGTCACTTTGAAGAATAATTTTCCTATGCAAGTTTTATTTAACCATGCTAAGAGATAAAATCTGATATCGAATAAAAATGAAAACATAGATCAATTTATTAAAGTTTGGACTACTACTCTTAATAAGATTGACATTTTAAGATGAAACTACATATCTTAACATGGTATCAGATCTCATTAAGGTCCAACGAACAATTCAATCCGATTAAAACTCAAAAAAATTGAGCACACCGATTTCAAGATTGACCTGCTCAAACGAGCCATCATCTTACGGAGGCATATTAAGGGGTAAAATCCTACATCGAATAAAAATAAAAATATAGACAAATTTATGAGTTTGAGCTACTCCTAATAAGGTTGATATTTTAAAATGGAACCCAAATCTTAACATCACCTCTCCAAATCAACAAACAAACTACTAATAGCCACAACCCATCGTCTCCTTCACTGCCATTTTTTCTATCTCTCACCTCTCACTGCTATTTGCCACCTCCGGCCACATCAACATAACCTCACACAACATAACCACCACCACATACGCAGTGGAAGAGATACAGTCCATTGCGCACGATAATGTCGCTAGGTCGAGCGACTCCGTTGATGATGTGCACAGCGAGGAAGAAAGAGGACGGGAAGGGTTTCGAATCTCCGCCGCCCATTTGCCCCACGGCTTTTGCTGTCTTCGACGGCGATATCTATGTGAGGGAGATGGGAGAGAAACGAGAGAAAGGCGGGGAAGCGAAAGAAGAGGGGAAGAGTTCGCGACGGGAGTTCACAGCAGTGGTCGATCTCTATGTCTCCAACGGCGATCGTAGCAGCATCTTGCCATGCCGGTGGTCGCAGCATCTGTGTCTCCAGAGAAGAGAGAGAGGCGGGAAAGAGAAGGTGGGGAAGAGAGAGAGGGGAGTGAAAGGAGAGAATAAAATTAGGGTTTTAGGTTTGGGTAAGATGAATTAATATCTGTCGCCGGCAGCAGAAGTGGAGGGAGGGGGACGAGGTCAAGAGGAAAGGAACGAGGGAGGAGTAGAGAGAGAAAGCAAATAAAATTTTTTTTGGAAATGAATTAGGGTAGTAAAAATATTTATTTTATAAAAATATTAATTAAAATAAAAAATCTGATTTTGGAAATATTAAACTTCCAATCTGGTTTTAGAAAGTTTAATACTTAAAATATGATTTTGTGTAATTACCACTTGAAAAAAATCCCACTCCACTATGCATGTGAGTGGCCCGTGAATTTCACAGGCTGTACGTGTAGTTCAACTCCAAATTTTAAGCAGCATAATTATTGCACCACGTAAATCACTTGTTAATGACTATTCCGCGACTAATTAATTGGAGGAATGAAATTTCATCAGTCACTTTGAAGAATAATTTTCCTATGCAAGTTTTATTTAACCATGCTAAGAGATAAAATCTCATATCGAATAAAAATGAAAACATAGATCAATTTATTAAAGTTTGGACTACTACTCTTAATAAGATTGACATTTTAAGATGAAACCACATATCTTAACATGGTATCAGATCTCATTAAGGTCCAACGAACAATTCAATCCGATTAAAACTCAAAAAAATTGAGCACACCGATTTCAAGATTAACCTGCTCAAACGAGCCATCATCTTACGGAGGCATATTAAGGGGTAAAATCCTACATCGAATAAAAATAAAAATATAGACAAATTTATGAGTTTGAGCTACTCCTAATAACGTTGACATTTTAAAATGGAACCCAAATCTTAATAGACTATAACAACAATTCATCTTTGCTACATATGAATGGCCAAAAAGACGCTTTTGACCCTTGTGGAGTCCCCGAGCATTCTTGGGCATAGGTTAACACCTAAACAAATTGAAACAAATTGGTTGAGGTTAACAAGATTTACAAATTTCTTATCTACGTTCTTGTACATATAGCAGAATCTGCAGAACAAGTATGGTGGACAACCTATGATCACATAATAAAATGGATATAAACGTATTTGTTACCACAGCTGGCAGTTTATGTTACCCTTATTTCCTTTTCAATAATATTGGCTCACAATCTTGGTGGCCTTAGAAGTCGTGGATTGCTGCTAGAATCAATCCAGGATGAGATCACATCAACAAGAAGGTCTATTTCCTTCGAAATTTCTGCACGAAAAATTGTTGAGTCTACCCCAAAGTTATCGCCCACGTCCTTCGCAACTGTCTCCCAAGGTGTCCCTGCAGTCAAAGTTGCCAAAAACTCTCCTCCCCGATTAACTGCATCTGCCATTGCTGGGGGAACATCTGGAAGAGCCTGGATATTCATATTTTTAATGATTCCTTGTTACATTCAGCTAATTATTGCTCAACAGTGTAGAAATATTCTCGTGTGCACGAGCATATAAGTGCACATAGTATAAAACAAGAATTGGCGAGTGCTTCAACTATCATTTAGAAGTTTCACCTGGTGTAGCGGAAGCCCATGATCCCCAGGCAACAAGCGAATGGACATATCCAGCATCGAGCTAATGGCAGACTCTGAGCTAAGAACCTGGGCTAGTGTTGAAGTTTCATCAATTGTATCGTCTTTGAACTTTATTAACAGATTCCTTGAGATACCATAGTAAGATCTTATCTGGAATCACAAAATGACACGTTCAATGAGAGATCTTTTATAGTGGCTATATAAATGTATATACAATCCAAAATGAGATGTATTTTGTTTATACGAAGGAATCAAAGTTGAAATTCCTCATTGTTCACAGAAGATCCATGGAGAAAGCAACAGCCAATGAAAGGAAATGTTATTTGTCAAACTTAAGATTGAATGGGTGAGCTATGATGGTGGAAGAGAGTTGAGCATTACAGCCATGACAAACATATGGGATCATATAAAGGTGAAACTGCAGAAGTGATTGTGCCGGCAGATTAAGCAATTGATTTATGTCATATAAAAAATAAGTTCCATGACCTCTGCTTGTACCAATCTGTCACATTCAATAATGTGCACACGCAACATTAAAGTCCAATTATGACATAGAACATGTTTGGTTAAGTATAAAGTAAGGTTCACCCTATGTTTGGCTCCTATTTATGAATTGTTTATAAATATTCAAGCCACTTCTTATACACACATGTCAAGGGACCCACATGCACTACCAACTTATCCACCATTCACTTCTATCTGTTATAATTTAAACCGCTTATAAACACTTCCTAAACATGCTCATAAAATAAATATTTTTCTAATTGGCAAAAGTTGAAAATAAGTTACTTTTTTTGAGGTAATAGCTACTTTAGAAATAAGTAATTTTTCAACTGAAATAAGAAATATTAACATATCCACGCATGTTTGGAAACAAACTTCTATCTTTCCTAAGCTTAGCATAACATCCATTCAGGGATCATATTATAGTTTTAGAAATAAGTAATCGTTCACTTGAAATAAGAAATATTAATATATCCACACATGTTTGGAAACAAACTTTTACCTTTCCTAAGCTTAGCATAACATCCATCCAGGGATCATATTATAGATTCTAATCTTAAAAGAATAAAAGAAGATACATCAAAGAAATCAAACCACAACACGATAGCAGTATTATCCAACAGTAATCCACACCGCCCAAAGAAATTCGTGTTTTGAGCTGTTTCTCTTGTTGGCATCTTCCTTCAACAAATAATATTTTTAATAAATATAGTACAATCTCTTTTTAAAGTTGTTACAGATAAGAGTAATTCATACTACGTTGAATTACCCCATCTAAAATGTTAAACTATTAGACAGAAACACGTTAATTTTATCTATATTTATAATTCAATATACTCCTTCACATGCACACTGGATTCAGTTTTTTAATCTAAGATTTGTGACGTGGACTTAATTTATAACTGGGTGGCAATGAGATATGAATCATGATCTTTGATAGCATTTCGAGTAAGCTTTTAAGTGTGAGCCTACTAAAGCGGGCATCATGTCAAGTCAGGAGCCTAGATTAAAACCTTAATGAACATGGACATTGTGGTTATGCAAGTGTTTTGGTACCAAAAGCAATGCAGTTATGTTTTCAAGGTACCGAGAGCAATGCAGTTATGTTTTCAAATGTTCAAATAAGCAAGCTTAGTGGACTCATATAATACTTTTAAAGGAGAAAGACTAGTCGTGGGCCAAGAAGAGCTCGAGGCACCGAACAGGTGAAAAATTATTCTGCTGGAGACTTGAAGAGTCAGTTTGTGATGTTGAAGACAAAATAGTGTTAAATAAATTCCTGGCCCTCTAATAACTTAAGTTTTTAGGTGAGTTGGTCTAACATGGCATCATAGCTATCCAACATGGTATGATAGCTAGTTCTCTTCTCCAAAAGTGAATTCAGAGAAAAGGAACTAGTGTGCTAAATGTGATTATCTTCCTTGGACCCTCCCTACTACCACTGAATATGGAAGCATGAACTGTCTAGGATGGAGGAATTTGAGACCTTGACAGTGAGAGATACTTCTGCCACTTTACAGCACACCATGTATAGACTTGTTACCTTTGAGTTTAAACTAAGGCAAGCAGAATGAATGGAAGAGTTCAACAAGGTCCAAGGGTAATCAGTGTGTTAATGAAAAGGTAGTTAGCATGGAGAGATGTGTCAATCCTCTAGCACAAGCACACTATTAATGGACTCTGGACTTTAGACACTTGTACTATGCAATTTACAATCTAAAGCATAAAGCAAACACACCACATAGAAAAAGCAATAAAGAAAAAAGAAAAACGAATGAGCACAAAAAATGAAGCATCTTGACAACCTTCACACATGATAAATACGCTTATTTGAAGGTCTAAAATATCGATATTTGGTAGTTCTTTTGACAAAATATATCATAAATTGTTGTATTTTATGTTATATAAGTAAAACTCAATGGTTGAACAAGGAATTGGAAGAAACAAAAGAAAAATCAAGGAAAAATGACAAAGTCCAAAGTTTGATGACCAAATTGCTAATATTCAATAGTTAATTCAGAACACAAGATCATACTTTAAAGATTGCTAGGAGAAAATTGAACGGACTTAGAACTCAAAAAGAAATGAAATATAATCGAAATATTATCAAAATCAATTTCCAATCGCACAAGTTATATTCCAAATTTTTAATCGAAAATTGAGAACCATTTTTGGCATAGTAAACGTCCGAATTGGAAAATTTCTATTTTTAACAAAATTGTAGCCCTTTGAGTTAGCTTTCCAATGCACTTTGAATTGCCTCAATCAGATATCGGAAGAGAAATTTATGGCCAAAATACGGACTGTTGTGCAATAACAAAAAAATACATGCGCGAAAGAAACTTTTCTTATTCGATTGGAACTCTTTTGAAAATCAATTTGGACATAATTTTTAACCAATTTTCTACTCCTACAAATATCTAACAACAGAATACACATTAGAGATCTCTCATATATATCGCATAATCCAAATGTTCATAATTATTATCATCAAAGGAGGAAAATTCATAATTTTCGTGAGAGAATTAAAGGGAACTTGCAAAAATTCAATCTAGTGAAGATTCAAACTTGATTTTTGGGCAAATAAGAGAAGGCGCAAGTAGAGATTCATCAAGAAACCATTTAAGATATCCAAAATTTCAAGATTCATCTTTATCTTCTCAATTTATCAAAAATTCGAGTTGTCTTTTCTCTTAAATATGATTTCTTGTAATTTCAATATGTTATACTAGTTTTATACATTGCCAGGATGAGATGAACTATTGTAATGATATTTTAGTTTTTAATTAATTATTTTGACTTTAATATGATTTGATTTGTAGATATTTGTTATCGTTTTTATCGTTCTTTTCAATCGTTTGATCACCGATTAAATTGTTAATGGATTTTATTATTATCGAGAGAGACAATAGCGGTTAAATACAATATAATAAACATTGTAATGTTCTATAGAGGATAGAGATATATCTCTATGTTTTATATGATTTCAATAGGTGCTCTAGGACTTGTTAATACATTTATCATGTTTGCATCTTTCATCGAGAGATAGAATGATCACATGAGGGGAATAAATTTGATTGCTATCGAGAGAGGCTTTCAATTAAATTAGAAACATTGATCAACATGAATGATTTCAAATTATCACTTTAATTGTCACACTAAAAATGGAATAATAAGGGAAATTCCACATCTTAGCAATGTATCTCACATATTTGAAAAATACATTTCCTTTCTTTCATTAGCTTAATTGATAATTTAGGTATTAGTATAGAAAAAATCACAAAATTTATTTTTTATCCTATTAAAGTTGAAATTAATTTTAACTCGATCAAACACATAATTCTCGTGGGTTCGACACTCTATTTATCATTATATTACTTGACCACGATCTCGTGCACTTGCGAGTTTTCAAAGGATCAACACGAGTCAGCTTTGATCACATGCCTATGAAATGCTTTCCTCCTGTCTTTACCCAACATCAAGCCCCATTTCCCAAATATCGAGTCCTCAAACAGTCCATCTAAGCCCACCTAGTCTAATTTCAAACCTTGGATCACCTCAGACAAAGTCACATTCAGGAGGATTATTTTTGAACAATAGTCCGAGCTACCTGTCTATTCAAGGCAGAAGAATCTGAATGATACTAATATTCAACCTGCTCCCTCACACTGCCAAGAACTTGAGCCAAGAACCTGAGACAGTATCAATTAATTATATTCCCATGTCTGGTCTTATTTATGATAACTTGAACATACCTATTGGTCTCATTTAAGGCATTATACCATGCATCCTATCCCTAAATATAGTGGAGGCTTTACTTATTCCAAGTGGAGAGAAGTTATTGTGGATATAAGAGCCCTAAAAAATGGGTAATCGAACCCTCGTCAGTTTACCTAGAGGAAAAAATCGAGTGGGGTGCAAATGGCTTTTCACTGTCAAATACAAGGTGGATGGTTCTATCTAGAGGTATAAGGCAAGACTGGTTACTGAAGATTTCATTCAGGTCTATAGCATTGATTACTAAGGGGTGTTTGTCTCCCATTATTGGGAGAAAAATAGATTAATGAATAGTATTTTTTGGAGAATGTGTAGTTGAAATTTAAAGTAACTTTATTGGTTTTTGTGTAGAATATTTTATTGGGAGAATGTGTGGTGGCGAATCTTACTGTAGCAAACAGTTTTTTGGAATAATGGTACACAAACAGGGGCCAATAAACATTTGCCCTAGTTGCAAAGATGAATATTGTCCAAGTTTGTTATCTCTTGAAGCTAACCGTAATTGGCAAAATGGACCAGATTGACATCAAAAACGAATTCTGAGTTGATTAGCCAGCTGAGAATTCTTTCCTAAAGCAATCAGTGTCAAGATATCTACAACAAATAAAATGTGACTTGGTATTGATGAGTAAAAGGAGTCGGTCTAACTTAAAAAAGGAATGCTTGAACACAACATAAATTGATTAACCTTGTGTTTGTGTATAAATCACTATCATCCAAAACATTCCGGTGACATTAAATCTAATAAAAAAGCTAACAAATTGCGGATGTCACTGTGGAAAGTCTAGTGAAGGTCAATTACTCAACTATTTGAAGTAGGCCAAGTAAACTTTAGCATCCTTTAACATCATTATAGTACACGTGGCTTAATCCTATGGCCGACTTTTAATACATTTTTCAGCACATTCTTCCTTTCTATGGAAACTCTAAGTGCAGGTGGTGAGATAAACAAGGTGCTAAAGTTTCATAGCCAAAAACTAAGTGTGAGAGGTAGTAAAAAAGGGTAATTAACTTTTTTATGAAAATGGAATTAACTAAATTTTCAATAATCTTCCAATGCTTAGACAAAAAATGTGAAGAATCCAACCTAAATTAACTCCCAAAGTATATACACGAATTTGGAAATGGAACAAGCTGGTACACATAATATAATATTTAGCTGTACACAAACAGACACATCAATAGATAAGTGCTACCATTCATTAATGCTAAAAGTGTGAGATTAGACATACCAATCGTCGAGTTTCTTCTGGTCTGGGAGAGAAATTCTCCCTCCCTTTAACCAAGTCCATGTATAGTGGAGGAAGCTGCTCAACCAAAGGAAAAGCTTGCTTCATAATGGGAGGGCTAAGGTTCTCCAATTGTTTCATAGTCATCTCAGCCTGCAAGTTTCAAATTTAAAGGAACAAAAAAAGTTCATGAGTTTATAATTATTGTTGTTGAGAAAATGAAAGGGAAGGAAAAAGGGACTGAATACTTGAACTACTCAACATTATAAAATGTTCAGATCAACCATTGCAAAGTGTAATTCAGATCCTTACCCCAAGGCGAATTGTTGGCAATGAGGCTAATTGAGATAGAAATGGTCCAATACCTTGGGCCATTGGGACAAGAACAGGAGAGAATAATGGAATGGCTATACTGGCTTCCTGAAAGTAGCATGTACAATCGATTTGTTAATTTCACGTCGCTGAAGAATGGGAATTGAGAAGGAATAAATAGATCAATGTGTCACTGCTAGCAAATAACATATACTCTGACTAAAGACAGTAAAAACTGTTCTCAACATGGATAAAGGTGTAGAAAAAGAATTATATTCGAGCAATAATAATAGTTTGCTAATGTCCAGTTTGTAGAACTCTGACATGCAACAAAGTCACACTTGGGCTTCTTGGAGTTAGAACCTTAGGGTTATTTAGGAATTGGACGAAATAGGCCCACCCAAACATGCTCTATCTAAATATCAGACTTCTCAAATAAGCCATGTGGATTATTTTGGGGCTTATTTATAAGCCATTGGTTGTGGCTTATTTTTTAGAACTAAGTCCACCCAAACACGCTCTGATAAAATCTGAAACAAATTCAGTAAACTATAGACTCAGCAAATAGTATTGATAGAAGACTTCACGATTGTAAGTGCAAGCATTGAAGTACCTTGTTGTTGAATGCCATTAAGACATTCCCATTTCTTTGCACGGCATACCTTGAGCCTGTCAATCAACAATTTAATCAATTGAAGATGAGCAAATCTGAAATTACTGTGGAAGGATTATAAAGATAATTTTTTAACCAATCAGAAGATGAATGACTGATCCCAGAGAATGCCCAATCCCAAAAGTAGGAAGATCCTCTACCTGAGAAAGAAAGCAACTCAAATAACACACCCTGGACTAGGAATTGAAAATTTCTGCACTCTCAGGATTCAAACTTACTGTTTCCTGGAGAACACGAAGACACCTCTCAAATTTAAACTGAACTTCATCTGCAATGAGGAAGTGATCGAAACCCCCCGCATAAGGTGTGGCAATAACCAATATACCCCTGCCTCATAAAATGTGCAAGAAGCAAGTAACTAATTTCCCCATTTCTTAAAAAGGATGAATAACATACCAGAAAAGGAATAAATAGAAGTAAGAAAAGGACTCCTTTTAGAATACATGATCAGAAGAATTCAATTTGTTGAGTCAAAGCCAGATGTCAAGCTTTAACCCATCAGTAACATCCGACACTACATGATATCAGAACCCAGGCAATATGATAATAAACAACAGAATTATGTCAGAACTCAGAAGAGATATGCTGTATTCATATATTAATCATAGTAGACGATTTATTGTGAAGATGGAAAATGAATACCTTCCTAATTGTAAAAAACAATATGGACTCAATTAAAATCTTTATCAGTGAGAAAACTACTCACCTATCCGCAAGGCGTTCCAGGAACAAGCGGTAGGTTAGTTGTGGTGCAGCCCCAACAAATATGCCCCCAACAAAATGTACAATTGACCTCAATTTGGAGTTGCTTGGTCTCAAAACCCATGCTCCCTACAACACATGGAAATATTTTCAGCAATATTATAAAAATACGCACCTTAATGTTTAACCTCCTATGTTTTTTTTTCTTTGCTTTTCTTCAGGGGATATGAAAGGGAGCCTCCATGAAGGGCAATGCTGCATATTTATTTTCCTTTGCATTTCCCCAACTCAACATCAATAGTAAAATTGCCTTTGTAACTTACTGCAATTGTGAAATGGCATAAGACAAGCAAACCATAAAGCATCTCAAAGAATGCACCATCATTTGCTTTTATAATTCTTATTGATCTATACCATCCTCTTATACAAATCTAGACCTCTCTCTTTAATTAAAACTTCAAACAGTTAAATTTATTAATATTTATTTCTGCAGTAAGTTTTCAAGTACTTAATCAAACACGTTGATGTTTCAGCAAACAATTCTACACCAGCTGTTTGTCATGTACTTATAATTGCAATTTTTAAAAAAAAGTGGATTCATTTCATGCCATGGTATTCCAGGAGTAAAAATCAATAAAAAGCACCAAAAGAAGTCTAAAAAGCCAATCTATCTTCTAAAATAGACTAGTCATGAAAGCATCATTTTAGCAAGCTCTGAATTTACTTAGTTTATTGTTACATGGATGAAGCATTGTACAAACAATCATTTAACAATACCAAAGTATACCTCAATTTCATTCCAGTCTCCTGAATTACCTCCATCTTGAAATTGCTTTACCGTCTCTGTAAGTACTCTGTCCGTAAATCAACATAAATCATAGTTTAATCAATTTTATTTAGAGATAGCAACAAAGAAAATCTAAAATTTGATAATAGTCATTTGTAGTATCCTATCCTACCCGCCATGGCACTGATACAATGAGTACCTCATTTAATTTCTCATACAGGAAGGCAATAGGGTATTTCCTATTGTGTTCAGCAGAAATCAAACCCACTAAAGGAATAAACACAGAGGGAAATTTGAAAATTATTACAGAAGGGGAAGCTTGATTCCTGTTCGAACCTGTTTTCATTATCTTATAATAATTACAAAATCATTTTCATTCACTTACAGATTCGATTCTTATTTACTTTGATTCCCATACTTCATAAACTACAAAATGGTTTACTTAAATTTAACCTATGATGCACCGACACGGACACATGTGTCCGACACTATACGTGTCGAATACGCTAACACGAGATTGTTTTAAAAAGTACATATACGACACGTTGATTAAATCCTTAAAAATTCTTTATTTATATAATATAAATTTAATTCTATACTTGTTATTAATTTTTCTTGTTAAAATCTTTTAAACATGAGTATCTATTTGTTTCTTGATAATAACTTTGATTTAACAATATATAATATTTCTAATATAAGAAAAATAATTACGGTAGAATGTTCGAGAAGTGTCGATATCGACTTGTGGACACGATATAATAACTTTGAATTACAATATATAATATTTCTAATATAAAAAGAAAAATGATTACGATAGAGTGTTCGAGAAGTGTCGGTATCGACTCGTGTCCGACACGGATACGCTACCCTAATTGAAGTGTCCAAGCTACAGAGAATATAACTAATTGAACTTGGTGATTTTTACTGAAATTAGAATGAAAGGAAAGAAATGAGGAGCTTAAATAACTCAATTGAAATGCAATTCAGCATATTTTATGTGCGTTTCGCGCGGATTTATCGAGCTTCACTGACAATTAAAAGATGGTTCAAACGATTGTGTAAGGAACAAACCTCTTGAGACAAAGTCCCAACGAGGGGTGCTTTATTTATGAAGATTACAATGAAAAACGAAACAGAATGCCTCCAAGGGGCACAAGCACACAAAGTAATTTGAAAGTTGACGAATGGTTCAAACGATTGTGTAAGGAACAAACCTCTTGAGACCAAGTCCTAACGAGAGGTACTTTATTTATGAAGATTACAATGAAGAAGAAGCAGAACGCCTCCAAGGAACACAAGCACACAAAGTAATTTGAAAGTTTGACGATAAGAATTAAAAGAAATGAAATTACATATTCTCTATTTGAGAATGATTGATTCGGGATCTTTCCTTCTATGTCTTCTTTTCCTTTTATACTCTTTCGTCAGTTTCTTTGTAAAACCGTTTGGAAACTGATTGTCGCTCTATAACTACCCATTTGCTACATAATGGCTAACGTGTCAAATAACTTCTGCCACTACTCTCCTCTTTCAACTGCTTGTAATCGAGATTCTTGGATCATGGAATGCGATAAGATTGCTTAATAATTGATTCAACAACCGCCACTTTAAATAACAACAGGACGATATGTTCGCTCAAATCTTGGGCGTCTCAAAGGCTTGAACGAGAATGGGACTATCGCTCTGAGCGACGATAAGGTACTTCATTCGCTCAGACCCTAGGCGTCCCGTAGGTTTGGGCAATAATAGTCCTTCACTTATGGCCTTCACTATATTTCACAATGGTCTCATTTGGGCCTATCCTTCAAATTCCTTATCTGTGCCTCATTTATTGGACCATTTACATGGCCTCATTTTGTATGTCAACAATGTGGTAAAATGAAGACGAATGGAACTTCAAGATAAAATATTCAACACCCTGTGAAACTTCAGATACTGCGTTATTCTATGTTGTAAGGGTAGATAGATGGTCACTAGAGTTTGGGGAAGCTGGCAGCGTATGTCGAGCAGGTGAAATGGGATTATGGGAGATTGTGGAAACTAAAATTTTGCAGTTTTGACACCCAGACTGACTAATCATTCACAAAAGTTGCATTTTTGTAGATTATTAAATAGTACATTAAAAATCCTCCTATTTCTTATAGGTCAACAACCGAACAAGCCCTACGAAGCAACAAAACAATTCATAACTCCTTTTTATTTTTGTTTTCCTTTCCTTTCCTTTCCAGCGGTTTCTTGTTATTCATATGAAACGTTATCTTAGGTAGGGGTGGGCAAAACCCAATCGAACCCAACGAACCCGCCCGACCGGGTTGGGTCGGTTTTTTGTCATTTTTTGGTGGGTTTCGGTTTTTGGGTCGGGTCGGGTCGTGGGTTAACAAGAATAACCCAACCCAACCCAACCCGCCAACATTAAAAAAAAAA